GCAGGGGAGCTGGACGAAGTATTCGAGATGTAGCTCTGAGTTACCTATGTTGTTTTACTTTCTGCTGTATTTTTGTGAATGTTTGGCCAATGTATTTTGTCTTTAAATAAAACATACTTGAAATATAGGGGGTGAAAAGCTCATCAAAGAAACCAAGGACCACAGGGCGACCAGCTTCCTCTTTCAGAGACTCAGTGTTGCGATCCAGAGAGGAAATGCCTGCAGCATTCTGGGCACGTGGCCCACCGCAGGGGAGATGGACGAAGTATTTGAGATGTAGCTCTGAATTACCTATGTTGTTTTACTTTCTGTTGTATTTTTGTGAATGTCTGGCCAATGTATTTTGTCTTTAAATAAAACATACTTGAAATATAGGGGTGGTAGGAGAAAATTCTCAAACAGCTTCAGGGAGAACCTTGAGTTTTCCCTAAAGCAAGTTTATTCTTTTCTCTGACGAGGGTCCCTAGGACAGTTCTAGAGGTGGTACCTTCCTATATTTTATATATAATATATAGTATATTATTTATATATATACACTTACACGCTCCGACTTATGACCTGCTCGACATACGTCCACTCAACTTACGACCGTGCATCTGGCAGCTGGGCTGGGCCGGCTGATGCACACCACTGTACAATATTTGACAATACTCGCGGCAGCAATGCGTCATGCCGGCAGCATCAGTTTGAGTAACCCTGTCCTATCAGCAGCATCATACTGTATTAACTGTACTAACTGGACAGTATATTTCACCATGGCCCCTAAGATGAAGTCTGTGGCAAGAAAGGCTTTTACTCTCGAGCTCTATATTTGTTTTCACTGTTGCACATAAACCTGTCTGTATCTGTCTGCCTATATATCTGTGTATCTCTGTGTGTCTGTTTATCTGTCTGTCTACCTGTGTGTGTGTCTTTCTGTCTACCTGTGTCTATCTCTACCTGTGTGTCTATCTTTCTGTCTACCTGTGTGTCTGTTTTTGTCTACCTGTGTGTGTCTTTCTGTCTACCTGTGTGTCTGTCTACTTGTGTATGTCTTTATGTCTACCTGTGTGTGTCTTTCTTTCTACCTGTGTGTCCGTCTGTCTACCTGTGTCTGTCTACCTGAGTGTCTGTCTGTCTTTCTGTCTGCTTGTCTGTCTCAGAGCCACTCATTAAGAGTGTAATTGGTCTTGAAGATGCCATGTTAATGATAATAACACAATAATAATCACTGAGGCGCATTAAATGTGTATAAAACGTTGATATAGACATTTTGCTTAATCCATCTATGATTTCTTTTTCAAAATTATATAATAAACATGCTACATAACATATAACCATATAAATTAACAAATATGAGATGTTTTTCTGGTCGGCTTGACAGAGTGAACAGGAATCATTCCTGTCCGGGCTGGTAACAACAACAACAAAGTTTGTTTACATAACTCGCCAACCTTCTACACACTCATTCGTTTATTCATTTAATCTTGTTTACTCACCTCTCACTCTACATTAAAACTACAGATATTTTAAGGTAAGTAATGAGTGGACACAATTATTATATTATAGTTTAATAATAATAATAATATTAATATTAGTACATATGTATTATTGTAATAATAATAATAATAATTATTATTATTATTAATTTAGGACACTGGAGCACAGATCCACTGTATAGCACTTTGTCTGGATTATTAGGGTTATCCTAGGTAATTTATACTATGTATGATAACTTTACTTACGTGTACCAGAGAGAGAGAGAGAGAGAGAGAGAGAGAGAGAGGAGAGAGAGAGAGAGAGAGACAGACAGACAGACAGACAGAGAGAGACAGAGAGATAGAGAGAGAGACAGAGAGAGAGCCAGCCAGCCAATCGACTGAAACAGCATCATAAGTTTCATTCTCGTATGAGTGTTTATTTGTGTTTTGTTCCACTCACAGTATTGTGTCTTTTTATTCTTTAATTAGTCATGTTTTCTAAAATATATACAATGTAAATTATTTTGTTAAATTATGAAACATTAATGTAATAGAAAAATGCGATAAAGGTCATTCAAGGTGCATATATGTTTAATGCATCAAGTGCCAGTAACTGACATTATAGTGCGTTTAAACTTTGTTGCATTATGCTCAAGATACCAGAAAAAGTTTGAAGTAGAAAAAGCAGGTTCAGGCAAGACAAAGTTTGGAAACTTGTCTTTAGCTCATAAGTGCATAAGTAAGAAACAGGCTTGTAAAGTAAAAGCATTCAAGATAAAAAGATGGGAGGAAAAAAAAAAAGATAGTGACAGAAAAAGATGCTGCAAATGCAACTGCAATTGTCAAAATTTCGTACCAGCTGCAAAGGTAAGAGGAAAGGTACTCACACCAAATCTCTTAAGAGGGCGTGGACTTGAAACCCTATGTCTCAAACATACCTATGGAGATTTAAATTTTAGTCACTAAAATATCCATAATCAGAAAGCCAATTTCACCTTTAAGACCCATGTTCCACTTCTCCATGCAATAAATATATTTTGCTTTAAAAAAATCTAAAGACTGAGCAACATAGCAAAATATCTAAACAAGAAACTTACCTGAGAATTAAAAATGAATAATTTCAATTGTACAAAACAATAACTAAAAATTCTGCTTAAACTGATTTTTCACAAGACATGTATTTCATACATCTAAAGTTAAACCTCCATAAGTGCAACATCTTTAAACTATTTAAGAAAACAGACACAGTTTGATATCATTACTCCTAATAAGTTGCACTGCCTGCTGACTTCAAACTTGTAACTGAGTCCTTGGAGTTCTTTCATCAGTATTTATTGATTTAGAATATTTCCAGAAAGCCTGCATGATACAACACTGATGACTTTCTTTTTCTACTTCACATTTAGTTGGTTAAAACTGCAAGGGAGGATAATAGTAAAAACAGGATTTTCTTGACTTCTTAGGCAGTGTTTTATATTTCATAATTGCTTGGTCAATTCCTATGACCAAGTTTTGTTCTCTGCTTTCATTCCTAGTGCTTTTATCATACTATTTGATGATATTTACTGTACAACATCAATAGTCTTTCACATATAGACCTATCCCTCCATGCAACTTACTTCCTCTATTACATCTATACATACTATATCCAGATTTCACTTAAGAAATGTCTGGTATGGGTTCTGCAAAGGCAGTAAAGCCACCATTTATAGCAGGAACATTGCTTTGGAGTTAACTGTACTAACATAAAGCTATTATATTTGGGATGCAATGAAGAGTAGCATTTATTACGAAAGTCAGTTGTTGCTGTCTCATAATGGGGCGTGTGGCGTATGAATTCATTTTTTTCAGTACTGTTACTGCTCAAGTGAACTTTTATTCTGTCCAGTGCTGGTAGTGACAAGGGCTATAATTTTTTATTCTTTTGTATGAATGAGTGATGACTGCCATGCATTCCTCCAGTACTACCTGTTATTCTTTTCAGTGTTTCAATCTGCTTGATCTTTCCTCTTCCCTTGCACATGCCTCAGTGCTCTTTTGAATTCCTTTGTCTCTGTACCTAAATTATTGTTGCCATTTTCTGAGAACTCATTTTTTCCTTACATTCCTCAATTACATTCTGTGCCTTTTTACATATCAGTCTAGGCATCTAGGTCATAGCACTGTCCTACTTCAAGATGTTCTGCACATTAGAGAATAAAAGTACAGTATTAGCATTTAGTTTCCTAAAGACTCTTTCCAATTCTTATCAATTTTTGTTGTGATATACAAGACATCTGACTGTTCTGCATAAACTCTGGAATAACTTTTTCATAACCTGAATGAACAAGATTCACTTTGTTATACAGCTAATGCAAATACTATATTTTAATATTACAGGAAACAAATACTGCCAAACTAGAAGGAAAACATAAAACAACAGTGGTGTTCAATAAGCAGGTAGCTGCTGGTACTGTATCTGCTTATCACTAAACTGTTGTGTATAACAACGAGGACACTAGTCATTCTGGAAAGTAGATTCACTACTTGTCAAATACTCATATAATGAAGTAGAGGCATCTCAACAAATTCACAGTGAACTATATTTCTGAAGGTCCCACAAAACTAACACCATAAACAACTCAAAATTAGGTCCACATAAAATTTTTTTTATGGATTGGGGATCAATTTATGTTTCACAGACCATATATCTATGTAAAATATCACTTGATAAATTAGACACATGTGCAACTCTTGGGTATCTTTATTGAGGAAACGTTTCACCACACAGTGGCTTCATCAGTCCATACAAAGGAGAAACAGGAAGAACAGGAGGAGAAAGAGGTAATCAGTCCCTCATCCTTTAGTCGATGTGGTCAGTCCATCAATCTTGAACAGAGAAGTAGCTTATATACCATAGGCAGGAGAGGTGCAGCAGTCATAGGTGGTGTCACATTTGTCCATTGTGGAAGTAGGTCATGCCCAAGGGTTAGGCAAGCGAAGAATTCCTCAATAAAGATACCCAAGAGTTGCACGTGTCTAATTTATCAACGTGTCGGTTCTCTGAACCATTCATCTAAAATATCACTTATCTGATTAATATTAACATTCATAAGAGGGAGTAACTGCAAGAGGGAGAGAGACTTGGTCATGGGAATGCCAATGAGAGGAATTTGTGTCTTATGGCCAGTTTTCAGCTCCAAGGTCATGCATAAAGCCTAAAAAAAAAAAATCCTGCCAGAAAACAATCAAATCTATCCATGAGTTACACATCTGTAGAAATGTTAGTTAATCAAAATTCACATTATTAAATATCTTAAAAAAAAATCCTGTTAAATCATCACTTTTTCACAAGCGTTCATTCTGAAAAAGATCATTCTTTTCCAAATATTATATACATTTTTCCCTAACTCTATGCAGACTACCTTTGAAAAGAGACAATATTACTAACTAATTAATGTTAGATTATATTATCTAATCAAATGAGCTTAAAGCATTCTAATTTATACATTACAGCAGATGAAACTAGTTGCTGCTACTTTTTAGACAACTTTGACTCACTTGCGATCCTGAGTGCCCATCCTTGCATCCAGATGATCTGCCTGAAGGTGGAATTTGCTGTCCTTGTTGTTGCTGCTGCTGCTGCTGCTGCTGTTGCTGCTGCTGCTGCTGCTGTTGCTGCTCGAAATCTTTACGGTCAAGTGAGAGTGTCATGGGGTCTCGGAGGGACCTTTGAATGCCTTGCAAACCTCCACTTGTATCCATGTCCAGATAATGAAGGCTGATCACTGCTGCTGTGCCTGTTGCATTCAGCACACATACCTCATCACTGTAGGATACACCAATTCTACTTCAAATACAACACTCTGTATCAATTAAATTCTATTCAAAGATTGCTACTATTCATACAAAGAATAACTGAACTAGGGAAAGGACAATATTGGTACTCAATTTTAGGATGATACCTATGCCATCAAAATTAACAGGTACCACCAATACCGATATCTTAGCACACCCCTAAACTGAACACTAGAAATGTATTAGATATGCATGAAAAATGGTTAAGCTTTTTTCTAGCATTTTAGGAATTGAAAGCATAACAAATAGTAAGCTGCTTCCATTACAAACTGTACCAGTATGTACAGTATAAGCTTTCAGCCTTTACATCACAATGTGACTACAAAATCTCGCAAACTACTGAAGACTTCATACTTTAACCACTCTTGCAGTTTAATAAAAATAATAATAAATATAAAAAAAATATTATTAATTAATATTACTTTCTATCAAAGAATGAACAGCATAAATCATGTAGTGATGGTAAATTACTGGTAAATTTACTGGCAAATTACGAAAATCAGAACCACAAAAAGCATATCATGGAGCCACTTGCCTAATGGTGGTGAATTCCTCATAACCAAGCACAACATTGCAAGCCAAAGCACGAGCATGTGAACGTACTTCCATCCTGAGTTGTGTCCACCAGTTATCTCGTGTTTCTACTTCTTCTGGGGTGTGGGGGCGATCCAAGAGCTTCACTGACCTAGCACTTACTGTACCACCTAAAAACGGAAGTAAAGTATTCAGTCTTGCATTAAAAAATCGTGTCAAATATGGAAAAGTGTCAGTATATTACCAATAAAGAAAAAAATTCTTATACAACTATGATAACTAATCTGGTCCCATTACCTTTCTTTTGTCAATATAGAATAGTAGCTGCTGTACTACTACCTTGATTATTTCAACAGTCCTTGTTTAATCTGGAAGTTGTGACTTCAAGTCAACTTCATTTTTTTTTCCTCTTTTATAAACATTGGAACTTCATAATTAGAATATCGCATTTCCACCTCAAATTTCATCCTGAATGTTCTGAATGTCCATATCCCATCTCAATCTTTGTTTTATCTTGGTTTTTAAGTTTCATCCATCTTCTTACTAAATTTATAGTGATGTAGAATAATTTTATTTGTGGCTTATACAAATCTCTGGTAATCTCTAGTTTTGTGTACTTCATATAATGCTTAGAAGTACCTCACTTCCATCAACTTCCAATGGCCCATTCAATATTGTTCGATTTACTTGTCCTATGTTATAAAACTCATCCAGCAGGATCACTTGTGTAAGTTTAGCTATCATGTGCAAGTTTAGCTGCCGTGTGCAAGGCCACCAAATTTGCCCCTGGTACAATATTCTTTACACAGTTATCTATAAATATATCATCTCTTTCTTTGTGACTCAAAATAATACCTAATTATTTACTTGCAAGCCCATCACTGCTTGCAGTTTTCTAGATAAATGCTTTCCTAGAATCAGTATGTGGTCAGGAGAAACATGAATCATATATAGTTTAGATTCTGTATAATGTGTAAATTAAAGAAAGAATTCATAATAAATTATTATTCACTTAAACAAAATAGCCTGTCTAGCCTGTCATAGGAACTTGGTTACTTACCAAGATGTAAGATAAAGCCAGCAGGGAATGTTTTCATTGTAAGGAAGGGGTACTCAAGCATGTCAAATGATTCTTGAGTCATGATGGGGCGATGAACTCCAGTGAGCATTCTACCCTTTCCTATAATGCCACCACCTGATGACCCTCCACTACCAGCCAAACTGCCTCCTGTAGAAATCATTTGAATTACAGTACTGTATATTAAATATTCCCTAGGTTTTGTTCTAAAGGAATACAGATTAATCATACAGTAAACACCAGCTGTATTTAATACTAATGCTTGAAAAAAGCTACTAAGATTTAAGGATACTACAGTATTTAAAGATTTAAAAAAAAGGCACAAGATTACAAAAATATTGTATGGTATACAGTGTGGTACTATGGTTAATGTGCCTGGGACTCAGTCAAGTTAAGTTCCATTGGATTTGACCAGTAACTGGATGAGTGCATGGGTTGAGCATTGCCTAAGGCTAAGAAGACATTGGTAAGTCAAGAGCATCCTGTTTCCAACATTAATATTATTATTATTATTTCTTCTTTCAATGCACTGGCAGAATCCCACTGAGGCAGGGTGGCCCAAAAAGAAAAAACAAAAGTTTCTCTTCATAAATTTAGTAATGTATACAGGAGAGGAGGGTTACTAGCCCCTTGCTCCTGGCATTTTAGTCGCCACTTACGACACGCATGGCTTGCGGAGGAAGAATTCTGTTCCACTTCCCCATGGAGATACATACAAGGAAATAAACAAGAACAAGTAAGATAACAGTGTGACCTAAGTGCAAGTAGAAGTAGCAAGACATACCTGAAATCTTGCACATTTATGAGAGAAAAAAGACACCAGCAATCCTACCATCACATAAAACATTTACAGGCTTCTGTTTCACACTCACTTGGTAGGACGGTAGTACCTCCCTGGGCAGTTGCTGTCTACCAACCTACTACCTAGGTACAGTGGACCCTCGGGTAACAATGACATCAGCTAGCGATAAAATCAGATATCGATGTGTCTTTGCGTAAAAATATTGGCTCGGCCAACGATGAAAAACTCGGTTAGGGACATTCGTCCCGAACACGTCCGCCTGTCCGTCGGCCTGAGTGCCTCAGCTGCCCTGCCTTCAGCTAGTGTGCCATTGTTTACAAGCCAGGGTAGACAGTTCCACGCACACATTCAATACATTTTGTATTATTCCATTGTTTTTAGTGCTTGTAACTGCTAAATAAGCCACCACGGGTCCAAAGAAAGCTTCTAGTGCCAGCCCTGTGGTAAAAAGGGTGAGAAATACTAACAAAATACTATCGTACCACGGTCAGCTGGTACTGCACCACCATCAGCTGCTGCTGCTGTACCACCGTCAGCTGCTGCTGCACCACCGTCAGCTGCTGCTGTACCACAGTCAGCTGCTGCTGCACCACTGTCAGCTGCTGCTGTACCATGGTCAGCTGCTGCTGTACCATGCCATCAGCTGCTGCTGCTGCTTCACCACCATCAGCTGCTGCTGCTGCTGCACCACCATCAGCTGCTGCTGTTGCTGCACCACTGTCAGCTGTACGACTTGAAGATGTGGAGAGACTGTTGTTGGTGTGGCTTAACGAGAAACAACTAACCCCAGAGGATTAGCCACCCAGGATAACCCAAGAAAGTCAGTGCATCATTGAGGACTGTCTAACTTGTTTCTATTGGGGTCCTTAACCCTTTGACTGTTTTGGTTGTATATGTACGTCTTACGAGCCACCGTGTTTGGCGTATATATACCCATAAATTCTAGCGGCTTCAAATCAAGCAGGAGAAAGCTGGTAGGCCCACATGTGAGAAAATGGGTCTGTGTGGTCAGTGTGCACCACATAAAAAAAAAATCCTGCAGCAAGCAGTGCATAATGAGAAAAAAAACTGACGATTTTTTTTTTAATTAAAATGCCGACTTTGTGGTCTATTTTCGTATAGTATTATAGAAATAGAGGTGATTTTGATTGGTTTTACTATGAAAAGAACCTTGAAATGGAGCTCAAAGTAGGGGAAATGTTTGATTTTTGCCAATGTTCAAAAGTAAACAAATGATGTCATTTTTCAATAAATGTCCAAGTAGCCATTCTAATACGCAGTCATAAATGGGTTGACATTATTTATACTATTATTACAATATTGCAGTAGTCTGCATAACAATAAATCTTATATTTTTTGTGCGAATAAAAATTCAAAATAGAAAGCAAGAGTAATATCAGAGGTGCCTGGAGACATGACTGATGAACAAAGAAATGTTATTTTAGAGCCAGGAATGTCTGCATTGTTCATTCTGGACCCTATTTTAAAACTGTCATATTTTTTAATTTTCGTGAAATTGGCCAAATTGCAAATTTCTAACCAGGTTATTGTGTAGTTTAAATCGGTAAATGGGCATTTTCTTGTACTCAGTCAATAGAAAAAATGGAGTTCTAAAGAACATAGCTATGAGTTAGTTCGACTGGAACAATGGAATTAGCCGAAAATAGGCCTCAAAGTGGGTGAAATCACAGATTCGTAAATATCGTCAAGGTCGCTAACTTCGCGAGAGCATAATTCCGTCAGTTTTCCATCAAATTTCGTTCTTTTGGTGTCATAACAATATCAGGAAAGGATTCTCTATCATTTCATAAGAAAAAATAATTTTTTTTTGGGGGGGGGAAATTTTGTGACACCAGGAGACACCTCAGGATTTGGGGTTGTGACAGTCAAGGGGTTAATCTTGTCCCCCAGGATGCGACCCACACCAGTCGACTAACACCCAGGTGAACAGGAAAAAATGCCTAGAACTAGTGCTCATATTGGTGAATTTAAGGTCAGCAAAGGTTGGTTTGCGAGATTTAAGAATCATACACAGTGTGATAAGGCATGGCGAAGCTGAAAAATTCCAACCCCAACAAGTGTTCAATTGTGACGAAACAGGCCTGTTCTGGAAGAAAATGCCAAACAGGACCTACATTACTCAGGAGGAAAAGGCACTCCCAGGACACAAGCCTATGAAAAACAGGCTAACTCTCATGTTTTGTTGTAATGTTAGTGAGGATTGCAAAGTGAAGCCTTTACTCATGTATCACTCTGAAAATCCCATGTTCAAGAAAAACAGTGTCTCATCACTCATCAATACTCTTCAATAAAGGTCAGTGTCATTTTAGTATTTATTTATGTATTTATTCTGCATGTCTCATTGTTTTCTGTGTAGGGAAATGTATATTTCATGTAAAAAAAAAAAATTTTTTTTAATACTTTTGGCTGTCTGAAATGGATTAATTAAATTTCCATTATTTCTTATGGGGAAAATTAATTCAGACAGCGATAAAATCGGTTAAGGACAAGCTCTCTGGAATGGATTAAAATCATTACCCGAGGGTCCACTGTATTATTATTATTATTATTATTATTATTATTATTATTATTATTATTATTATTATTATTATTATTATTATTATTAGTTATTATGATGATGATCAATTTAAGCACTAAACCTGAAAGTATCATGAAGCTTTCCCAGGGGAGGTATACCACCAATGTAGAGCAAATCAAAAATGAAAATTCACCATCACTTATTTTTTAGCTGCCTTTATGGAAGGGTTAACAGTCCTGTCATACCACTCTCAGAGAGCAAAAGTCGCTGTTCAATACTGACTCACTGAACAATTTCCCTACTCCACTTTCAAAAGGAAAAACACATTACTTCTCAGCTTCCATCATGCATGTTTAGCACACTGGTTACTTGATTATTATTATCATCATCATGATCATCACCATGGGAAGCACTAAACCCACAGGGCCATCAAATACATGTACCTTAGTAATAGGAGGCAACTAGATCTGATCCAAAGAAAAAAGAGCTACTCCAATTCCTCAGATCAGAACTCATCACCAGCATCATTGCACTTTCCTTGAGGGAACTACCTAACACCACTCAGACTGCTCTGGACTATCAAAATATGTAATACTGTAAAATCAAGTTTTCTCATGTTACTCGAAATATAGTCATAATTCACATTTTTTTGTGTGTGTGTGTGTGTGTGTGTGTGTGTGTGTGTGTGTGTGTGTGTGTGTGTGTGTGTGTGTGTGTGTGTGTGTGTGTGTGTGTGTGTGTGTGTGTGTGTGTGTGTGTGTGTGTGTGTGTGTGTGTGTGTGTGTGTGTGTGTGTGTGTGTGTGTGTGTGTGTGTGTGTGTGTGTGTGTGTGTGTGGTGTGTGTGTGTGTGTGTGTGTGTGTGTGTGTGTGTGTGTGTGTGTGTGTGTGTGTGTGTGTGTGTGTGTGTGTGTGTGTGTGTGTGTGTGTGTGTGTGTGTGTGTGTGTGTGTGTGTGTGTGTGTGTGGTGTGTGTGTGTGTGTGTGTGTGTGTGTGTGTGTGTGTGTGTGTGTGTGTGAGTGTGTGTGTGTTGTGTGTGTGTGTGTGTGTGTGTGTAAACTGGGCACCTCCTTTAAAGGGATTACCAAATTCCCTTCATAAGCACAGTACAGCATTGCTCAATCCCTCATTCTGACAGCACATCAAATTTTGAAGATCATTTACAGCTAGGTCTCGATTAGTGTGAGTTCGAATAGTGTGAATTTTTATTTAGTCCAAAATTAATCAGTGCTAGTTTTTTCCAAAAACTCTTCAAATCATGTGCAAAACTTACTTATAATTCAAACAATGAAACCACTTTATAGGATTCATTATTCACACTAATCGAGACCTAGCTATACATCCATACAAATACTAACACGTGGAAAATTGCCCATAAAGGTTGCCCCAACAGACTTCAACAGTACAAGATCAGCTTTTTTCAACAGCAATAAAGCCTGCAGTGTTACATCCATATATCACATGTTTTCAATAATATTTTCATGGGGAAGATCTAACCCTGCAAAGTTCATACAGTGCCTGGAGAATAGGAGGTAATGAGGGATGATCTAAAAAAAAGGGGAGGGTTGCTTCAATTCTTTACATCAAGAGATCTTCACTAGCATCAAGGCACCTCTCTTGAAGAGTCAAGTTTTGAAACCAATACTTCTTTGTTAAATGATGATGAAGATAGGGAAGCTGTGATTTTGTGTATAGGGCAAGGAGGAATAACATCTTGTAGGAGTGAGGAAGAGCCAGTTGTGAGTGTGGGGGAAGTTTGTGAGGCAGTGGGTAGAATGAAAGGGGTAAGGCAGCTGGGATTGATGGGATAAAGATAGAAATGTTAAAAGCAGGTGGGGATATAGTTTTGGAGTGGTTCGTGCTATTATTTAATAAATGTATGGATGAGGGTAAGGTACCTAGGGATTGGCAGAGAGCATGCATAGTTCCTTTGTATAAAGGCAAAGGGAACAAAAGAGAGTGCAAAAATTATAGGGAGATAAGTCTGTTGAGTATACCTGGTAAAGTGTATGGTAGAGTTATTACTGAAAGAATTAAGAGTAAGACGGAGAGTAGGATAGCAGATGAACAAGGAGGCTTTAGGAAAGGCAGGGGGTGTGTACACCAAGTGCTTTACAGTGAAACATATAAGTGAACAGTATTTAGATAAGGCTAAAGAGGTTTTTGTGGCATTTATGGATTTGGAAAAGGCATATGACAGGGTGGACAGGGGGGTGATGTGGCAGGTGTTGCAGGTGTATGGTACAGAAAGTAGATTACTGAAAGCAGTGAAGAGGTTTTACGAGGATAGTGAGACTCAGGTTGGAGTATATAGGAAAGAGGGAGATTATTTCCCAGTAAAAGTAGGCCTTAGACAAGGATGTGTGATGTTACCGTGGTTGTTCAATATATTTATAGATGGGGTTGTAAGAAAAGTAAATGCAAGGGTCTTGGCAAGAGGTGTGGGTTAAAAGATAAAGAATCAAACACAAAGTGGGAGTTGTCACAGTTGCTCTTTGCTGATGACACTGTGCTCTTGGGTGATTCTGAAGAGAAGTTCCAGAGGTTGGTGGATGAACTTGGTAGGGTATGTATAGGAAAGAGTAAGGTTATGAGGATAACAAAAAGATTAAGTGACTAAAGATTGGATATCAGATTGGAGGGAGAGAGTATGGAGGAGGTGAATGTATTCAGATATTTGGGAGTGGACGTGTCAGCAGTTGGGTCGATGAAAGATGAGGTGAATCATAGAATTGATGAGGGGAAAAGGGTGAGCGGTGTACTTGGGAGTCTGTGGAAACAAAGAACTTTGTCCTTGGAAGCAAAGAGGGGAATGCATAAGAGTATAGTTTTACCAATGCTATTATATGGGTGTGAAGCATATGTGATGAATGTTGCAGCAAGGAGAAGGCTGGAGGCAGTGGAGATGTCATGTCCGAGGGCAATGTGTGGTGTGAATATAATGCAGAGAAATCGTAGTTTGGAGGTTAGGAGAAGGTGCGGGACTGCCAAAACTGTTGTCCAGAGGGCTGAGGACGGGTTGTTGAGGTGGTTCGGACATGTAGAGAGAATGGAACGAAACAGAATAACTTCGAGAGTGTATAAATCTGTAGCGGAGGGAAGGCAGGGGTAGGGGTCGGCCTAGGAAAGGTTAGAGGGAGGGGGTAAAGGAGGTTTTGTGTGCAAGGGGCTTGGACTTCCAGCAAGCATACGTGAGCGTATTTGATAGGAGTGAATGGAGACAAATGGTTTTTAATACTTGACGTGCTGTTGGAGTGTGAGCAAAGTAACATTTATGAAGGGATTCAGGAAAACCAGCAGGCTAGACTTGAATCCTGGAGATGAGAAGTACAATGTCTGCACTCTGAAGGAGTGCAGACACTGTACTTCCCATCTCCTGTTTAATAAACGGTAGTACATGTATAAAACACCCCTCTGGCAAGACAGTGATGGAGTAAATGATAATAAAAGTTTTTCTTTTTCGGGCCACCCTGCCTTGGTGGGAATCGGCAGATGTGTTAATAAACAAAAATAAAAATAATTTCTTTGCTAAATTTCTGTTTGTCAGTTTTATTGCCTTAAATTAATGATACAATATGTATTACTATAATTTTTTAATTAATATGAGAGGAGGCATGTGAAATGGAGGCTCAAAGAACCTACCTGTTCCTCCTGTAAGTGCACTTCAACATTAACATTCACAACAAGACTGGGTTTTAACTGCTCTAAACTTAAAAAAAAAAATACTGCATAAATATAACTAACCCTTAGGAGTAATGGAGAGATCAGAATCTGAAGACCGTCTGTTGATGGAGACACCTGGAGTACGAGCAGGACTCGCCAATTTGCCAGAATGAGTTGGTGAGTGGTTGGCTGCATTCCCATTGGTTGATGCTATGATGCCACCCACTGTTGCACATCCTCCACCACCACTATCACTCTTGGAACCATCAGCATCAGTGGGTAACGGACTCCTGGACATGGGGTTACAGCCACTAGTATGGCGACTACGTGATGAGCGCTTGGGAGAGCCTACCATCGATGCTGAGCCAGGCCGGGCCTCCACTAGCATGTCAAGGCTAGAGATGTACACAGGATGGGAGGGACATTTAGCTGCTAAATCTAAAGCACACTGAAGCAAGTTACTACTCATGCTTAGACTGCTAGTTACATGTGGAAACTCTGAACATGAAGAAGAAGCAGGGGAGGATATATTAGAGGCAGAGGATGAGGCAAAGTATGAGAAATTGGATAAGCTAGAGGATGAGGCAAGTTGTGATAAATTGGATGAGGTAGAAGAGGTGAGGAGCATGGAAGACAAAACAGGAGTGGAGGAGGAGGTTTGATAAGGTAGAGAGAGGTGAGAGGAAGGGGAGGAGGAAGGGGACTGACATGGCAAAGAGATCTGAGGAGAGGAAGAAGAGGAGAAAGCTGAGCTACACAGGTTAGTATTAAATAGAGAGAGTGCATCAGAAGCAACAGGAGACATCGCACACAAGGCAGCACCTCGACCATTACTATCTCCACTGCCATTATCAGAAGAAGAATTTGTGTTAGTATCAGATAAACAAGAAAATTCATGCAAACTACTGTGGTCTGCACTTGCATGGATTTGCATAGATGAATTCAAAGATTTTGGGGGTAAGACTGGAGTTGAAGGAATAACTGCAATTGCTGGAAGAGGAATAGAGTTCAAATGCGGTACTACTGACTGCAATGGACCCATGTTTGACTCACACGCAGACTGTGTTTCCATGCAGGTATTCTTTGAGTAAACACCACCTTTTTGCATTCCGGGTGCTGAAGTATTTGACTCTTTCTGTTCCAGTTCAGGCAAGAGCTTGTGTTGTTTATCCTTTAGTATATCATGTGATATGTCCTGGACTCCCGTATCAGTAACCTGTAAATCATTTTCAAGTAACTCTTTTTCTCTTAAGGGATTCATGGAAAGGTCTTCCATCACATATAAAGCTTCATGCTCATGGCCTGCCTTCAATAAAAATGAATGTTTTTTATATCCTTCTAATGAACAACTCTTAGATTGTGAATATATTCTCTCCATGTGCCCTAAGGTCATTTCTAGAAGCTTCTCTACAAGCAAAGCGACTATCGCTAGCAGAACACTCTGTGGTTTGTTGCAGATCATGCACATCTACAGGACCAGTAAAATGACTTTCTAGGGAGCTCTGTAATGTAATATCATCTTCACTTAAGAAAAATTTCTGCCCACATTTATGTACTTTCACTTCATGTTCTGGACTACTGAAGTCTGAGGACAAGGGTTCTGAGCTACAGGTATCCTCATCCGAAGAAATATACTGAATTGGGGCTGAGGGATCCAGTGGTCGCCTTAACTGACATTTTGCAAAAACACTCTTGTTCAATGTTGGATCAGAAAAGGCTGTGGATTTGATTTTATAAGAATATTCTATACTGGTTACCTCATGCCCAGTTTCTTCATCAGAACACTGTACATCATCATCATCATCATCATCATCATCATCATCATCCAAACCAATAACTTCTACAATATCTGGTGAATAAAGCTCCTGCTTTTCTTTCAGAGGTTTGGCTCTGTGATAGCCTCTGCCAAGTAGCCGCCCCATAGGACTGTGAATTTTTGGGCTGATCTTTAGGTTGGCTCCTTTACCAACATGTGGTGGTTTGCACTGACCACTGCTGCTTGCATCTAAACTCCGTGATTTTTCATGTCCTCTAAATTTCATCATTCGCTGAGCCGTCTTACGTAACCCAGCTCTCATAGATTCAAGGCCATCCTTGTTACCAGAGGGTAAATTTGACCTGATATTTTGAATATTCTGATGTCCATAGTGTGAGCCATGTACTGCCCATGGACCTCTTGTCTTGCGAGGCTTGAAATGGCCAGAACTTTGATATCGGCATGATGAACCATCAGGGAAAGATGAATTGCGCTGAAGGTACACAGGGGGATGTTTGGTGATTGTGGTACCATATTTCCGTTTGACTAGTGGTACCCACGAATCATTCGCTTTGCATTGGTGAGAACCAACTGTCCTGGAAGAGCCCTACCCTGATCTGAAGATGGGCTTACCATCAAGTCAAGCCACTGCGAGGGGTGATGCGAGTGAACATGTGCTGAAAAACTTGAGCTGGAGCTTCCATTCTGCGAGGACATAAGAGAGTATTGGCAGGTGGACGGAGTAGAGCCTGAGGAGAGGTTCTTGGGTAAGTGGACAACAGAGATGGGCATGGGCCTATCAGAGTGTGGAACAAGAACATACATATTCTCTAGCACTAGCTCATCTTCCACACTAACACAACACCAATAAATAAACACACAAGTTGAGAGAGCAAGTGTCAATCAACAGTTCAACACAAAGCATATTACATGAGAAGCACCAAAAGTGTAAATGGGGAAGGTTATTACATTATATGGTTAAAATATTAGCAGGTTCACATGAGGAAGAGGGGAAAAATAGGAGAAAAGAATGAAGAAGAAAAATTAATAAAACTTAAGTGTTTTTTAGATCAAAGCAAAAATTTATGTTTAACAAAACATACATAAAAACTGATTTCAAGGATTAAAAGGTATGAGAAAATGTCAAACATGAAAAACTATCTCATTTAAATGAAAAAGCAAAAAAATAAAAAAAACAATACATATATTGTATTTAAACATAGGTAAAATTAATATACAATAAATATTTTTTCACCTATTGATAATCCTATACAATATGTGCATCAAAATCTACACATCAAATGTAATTTTTATACATTCCACAATCTATATAAAACTATCACGGATGGTAAAGGTAAGAAAGGTATCAATAAATTATGGGAGGACTTCAATGAAATGTAAGAAATTTTAAAAACATGTTAGAAATTTACATGAACACTTACTTTACAAAATATCATAAAAGAATATTAACAAAGCAGTTGTGAAATAGGTGTCCTATTGGAGTGTGAGTAAATTAACATTTATGAAGAGATTCAGGGGAAACCAGTTAACTGGGCTTGTGTCCTAGAGGTGGGAAATACTACAGTGGAGGGGTGAGGATACCACAGTTCAGAGGGCCATACAAACTGTGATGTTAGTATGCCTTTGGGAAGGAAGTGATTAAGTGAACGATAGCAAATGTGCTTCCCTTGTTTCTCTGAAGTGGATGGAGGGGGTCACCTACCTCTGTGAGACATAGCCAGTGCGTAAAAAAACTTACAATCTCTCTTTTGGCCCTTTTTTCTTAGCCACAGAAACTATGCATGCTCTATGCCCATCCTGAAGTACTTTCCCATCTTTAATTAATTTTTTTATTTTACTTTTTTTTAACATGTCAGCCGCTTCCCACCAAGGCAAGGTGACCCAAAAAGAAATAAAAACCCAAAAAGAAAGAAAAACTTTCATCATTCAACACTTTCACCATCACTCATACATAATATTACACTGTCTTTGCAGGGGCGTTCAGATACAACAGCTCAGACGTCCCTCCAAACCCCTCCTTTAAAGAGCAGGCATTGTATATCCCATTTCCAGGACTCAAGGCCAGCTAACCAGTTTCCCTGAATCCCTTCACAAAATATTACCCAGCTCACACTCCAACAGCTCGTCAGGTCCCCAAAACCATTTGTCTCCATTCGGCTCCATCTACGTTCGATTTTACATGCTCTCTTATGTAAAAAAAAAAAAGTAGACCTACGTTCTGAGCGCTACGCGAGCGAACGTATATCTACATTTGGACAGTTTAAGGGTTAATAATCTTTCCAAAACTGTTCTTATTCTCAGGAAAATTTGCAAAAAAGTACTACAGGTCCTCCATCACAAATCCAGCAATCAGTTATTTGGTTCCTTCAGTTATCCGGCACTGCTAGCATAATTTCAAATTTCCAGGGTTACCACACCAACCTGCTGCTACTGTTTGATGGCGCTACTTGCTGCATAAGTCATTCCAATTTCTTTTTCTCCATTTACTGTTATAACCTGCTTACTTTTAGACCTAGCCATGATTCCAACAAATAAAAGAAATGCTTCTCGTTGTGTAAAGCACATACACAGTACATTGGCCATAAAAGATAAGGTGGCTTTGAAGCCACTGTCGGTTGCCATGAGCTCAGTCTCGTCATGGAGGGGAATATGCTTTATTATTATGCTAATATCAACACTACAGCTTATTTACCTATCACAACTGATCTAATATGACACATTAAACAATATAAATAACAAAAACATTGTAAATACTCCAGAATGAATAATATTTGGCATAATACCAAGCAGGTTTGACAGAGGTATGAAGAGGATATGGGATACAAGTACCATCCTCCTATTCGTCTTGGTGGCTTATATTAGAGACAACGAAGTATAGCACAGGGCTAACTGTGACATACACTCGTAATGCACCATAAAACAAACAAAAAAGCTATTTTCTCTACACAGATTATCATACGTAGCAGCATATGTGTAGAGAACCTAGGATAACCCAAAAAAGTCAAAGTAACTTATTTCTAGTACCTGGCTTGGGTTTGCCATATAAGATTCTTGGTAAATATATTTTTTCTCAGTTGTTTGTTGGGCTATCTTATTGAAACTTGGGCAATGTATGATGGACAGATATTTCTTTACATACACCAAAAATGAAAGAAATCAGACCATAAATAAGGGAGTTCACTTCTCAGCCATTAGCCGCCCCTTAGCTGTATACTTTCGTATGGTTTTTATGGTTGTATTCTCGTTTTTTTGGTCTCATTTGATAGAATGGAAGATATATTACAGAAATAGATATAATTTTGATTGCTTTCACAACGAAAAGTACCTTGAAATTGAGCCCAAAGTAGCGGATTATTATTATTATTACAGTGGACCCTCAACCAGCGATATTAATCCGCTCCTGAGAGCTCATCATTAATCGAAATAATCGTTAGTCAAGTTAATTTTCCCCATAAGAAATAATGGAAATCAAATTAATCTGTGCAAGACATCCCAAAGTATTGAAAAAAAAAATTTTACCACATGAAATATTAATTTTAATACACACAAACTGAAGACATGCACAGTTACATGACACTTACCTTTATTGAAGATCTGGTGATGATTGATGGGATGGGAGGAGGGGAGACCATTGATCTTGTTAGTGTTTAGAAGGGGAATCCCCTTCCATTAGCACTTGAGGTAGCAAGTCTTTTTCTGGGGTTACTTCCCTTGTTCTTTTAATGCCACTAGGACCAGCTTCAGAGTCACTGGACTTCTGTCGCGCAACATATCTGTCCATAGAGGCCTGTACCTCTCGTTCCTTTATCCTAAAGTGCTTCACAACATTGTCAGTGTAATAGTCACCAGCATGGCTTGCAATAGCTGTGTGAGGGTGATTTTCATCAAAAAAGGGTTGCACTTTAAGCCACATTGCACACATTTCCTTAATCTTTGAAGTAGGCAACTTCTTCAATTTCTTTCTCCCCTCCTCCGAAGCAGTTTCCTCAGGTGTGGCCTCTTACTGTTGAAGATGATCTAGCAGCTCATCAGTGGTTTGTTCTTCATTGTCCTCCTCCACCAACTCTTCCACATCCTCCCCACTAACCTCACCAATATGAGCACTAGTTCCAGGCATTTTTTCCTGTTCACCTGGGTGTTAGTCAACTGTTGTGGGTCACATCCTGGGGGACAAGATTAAGGACCCCCAATGGAAATAAGTTAGACAGTCCTCGATGATGCACTGACTTTCTTGGGTTATCCTGGGTGGCTAACCCTCCGGGGTTAATCGTTTCTCAGTAATTGTTTCACGTTAAGCCACACCAACAACACTCTCTCCGCATCTTCGAGTAATACAGCTGATGGTGGTGCAGCAACAACAACAGCTGACTGGGGTGCAGCAGCAGCTGCACCTTTGGCAAGAACAGCTTCCTTGATTGCCGTTTTCTTACGCACAATAGTAGCGATGGTTGATTGGGGTTTATTATACAACCTGACCAGCTCAGAGACACGCACTCCACTTTCATACTTAGCAATGATCTCTTTCTTCATCTCCATAGTAATTCTCACCCTTTTTGCTGTAGGGTTGGCACTAGAAGCTTTCTTGGGGTCCATGGTGACTTATTTTGCAGGTGCAATCACTACAAAGGCTGTGATAATATGAAATGTTCCAGTTGTTGTATGTTTGGAAGCGACCGCGGTGGCTGGCTGGCTTGTAAACACTGGCACCCAAGGGACAAGTGAGGCGCGCTCAGGCCAAAGTGGACATGTATAGTACGGAACGAATAGCGCTGGTCAGGTTTTTAAGCGCTAGTTGAGGCAAAATTTTTGCATTAAAATGTATCGCTAGTCAGATTTATCGTTAATCGATGCCATCGCTGGTTAAGGGTCCACTGTATTATAATCAAAAAGAAGCGCTAAACCACAAGGGTTATACAGCGCTGCAGGGTAGGAAGGAAGCGAGGGTATCAGGTGGCAAAAGAGAGATGGATGAGTAATAGGTTACGGAGAACAGCGGGGCAGTGGATGGTGAATGGGTAGAGGGCAGCAAGAGATTGAGGTAGAAAGGGCTGAGGGGAGTGCAAAAGGTACCATCATCAGAGTTTGTGGAGTAAATCAGTCATTGTCAAGAAGTCAATGAGAGAGTCAGGATTAAAGGAGGGTCCATCAGCAAGAAGGGAAGGTAAAGAGAGAGTAGTAGAGCGGAGACGACATTGGAGGTAAATTCTGCGTGCTCGTTGATAGAGAGGGCAATCTAACAGAATGTGCCTAATCGATACTGGAACTTGACACTGATCACAGAGTGGAACAGGGTGCCTCTCCATGAGATACCCATGAGTAAGACGAGTGTGGCCAATGCGAAGGCTAGAAAGAGTAGTCTCCCAACCTCGCCACTGATGACAAAAGACGGCCAGTAACCTATGCTCAGTTTAACAGAATGAAGTTTGTTACCGAGTAGAGTTGACCAACATTGTTGCCAACGTGTGTGAAGGTGGGTAGCTATTACGGCAAAATAGTCCGGAAATGGAACACCTCTATATGAAATTGGTAGATTATGTACTGCTGACCGTGCAGCAGTGTCTGCCTGTTCATTGCCCTGTATGCCAACATGACCTGGGACCCAACAAAAAACAATATCTTTAGGCTTGGTAGAGATACAGCGTAGCCAAAGTTAGATACGGAGAACTAGGAGGTGAGGTGTATCAAATTTCTGTATAGCCTGTAGAGCACTAAGGGAGTCTGAGACAACCACAAATGATGACACAGGCATAGATGCGATATGAATAAGTGCTGCAAGAATGGCATACAATTCAGCAGTAAAAATTCTAGCTGAAGATAGTAAATGCCCTCACA